TGCTTCAACTATGCGAATTCTTTTGCTTTTTTAGAACTGGGACAAGGCCTTGCAATCAAGATGAGATTTTAGGATAGTTTAAAATAAAAATAGAAGAAAGCATAAGCATTCTTGCAGCAACTTACACTCATTAGTGAGCAACAGCAAACTTGTCACTACAGACTTAAAGCAAAGGAACAGGTCTTTTCCAAAGCAGAGGGAATGGCATTCAACCAGACTTTAGCCTTAGTGCCTAGAGGTGATGGTCACAAAGCAAGTTCCTACATATATTTTGGTGGACTATCACCCACAGAGGTGCTATGTTTGAGCCACCAGACTAATTTGCCCAGTGGAAATTTCCTGCATGTGTTTGACTAGAATATTGTATTTTGCAAAGTATAGAGCAAGCCAATGTTTAAAAATAGCCAGGGTCCATTTCCTCCTGAAGGACAAGGGAAAGTGATAAACTAGATTCATTGTCTGAATGAATGTTACATCGAGTTCTTTACTGTCACTATTTGCACTATAGCACTGTTCTTGAGGGTCTAATTCTTCCTGCAGAGGAGCTTCTGCTTGCCAAATTCCAAAAGAAAATGGAGGTTGCTCCTACCTCTTACCCTCAAGATTTTCCTTCAAAACAAATTGATGCCACAGAGGAATAATCATAAACTTGTGTGGCTCAGTACTCTGATCTGAACTCTGAGAAGATTAGATTATTGAATCTGTAAAATGTAATTAGGTATTGATGTACTGATTCAGTGGGACTAACAATTGGATTTACCTTCAGATTGCTTCAGATGGAGATATACTGCTAAGAAAAGAAAGAGGTTATATCTAAAGTCATACTAATAGTGTCTTTAAATATGTAAATGGGTGTAACACAGAAAATGGTATAAGTTTTGCTGCAATACAGACTAGAACACAAATCAGTGGATTCAAATTACAAGAAAAAAAAGACTTCACCTTAACATTAGGGAGAACTTTGTGACAGGAAGGTCTGTTTGACAGTCCATTTGCTATCTTGGAGTGTGGTGGGTTCTCCTACTTTGGATGTTTAAACAGAAGGTTAATGTTAATCTCTCTGGGGTGCTTTAGTAATGCATTTCTCCATGACAGATATTGGGCTAGATGGCTCTTGCTATCCCTTTCAACTCTATGATTTTAGGAAAAGCAAGAATTAATTAGTACTAAATTTCAAGGCCAATTTGGGTAATTTGGAATGAAAAAAGAAATCTTGAAAATTGTAGTTTAAATGTGGCTTCAGAAGGTGACTCTATTCAGATTAATCTAGAATGAACATGAAATAGTTGGTCAATGTTCTGCCCCCGATAAATTAAGGAATACATGATTAAGCATTGACTTTTTATAAACACAATTTTCACACTGGCCGCTGTGCTTCAACTTCTTTCAGAAGGAGGGGATCTTGGTCAACATGCCTTGGGCAGTGATCCCAACTCTTTTGCCTTAATTTTGTAAATAGATACATAAATAGAAGAGAAGACAGCACTGGATGGAAGGCAGGCTGGCATCTACATTTCATTTATTTGTCACATGTTCTCCACACTTGCCTTATAGAGGGGTGGGAATCTTCTAGATATTGGCACAAAAGTTGTAGCAAACATCACCATCAGCTATGCTGGCCCGGCTGCTTGGATTTGCTGTCCAAGAGCATTTGGATGTTTCTTACTGTCCCCTAGAGTTTGCTGTCATTACCACCACCTGGAAAACGCTATGCCACCATTTGGCAACTGTGATACCTCCTCTCTCATAAAGAGAGAACAGGGTAAAAAGTACCTTTTCTGTCTAGTGGGCACCATGCATTCCTGCCCGCTGATCACTATCCAAGCTAAGCATGTGCTGAAGGGTGTCAGGATTTTGTGAGTTGTGAGGGTGGGGGGTGGTGGTTGCAAGGAGCCATCACCTGCCAACTTGAGCTCTCATGTGGTTGGACGAACCAAGGTGACCAGCTGCTACTGCTGACAAATCAATTTGCCACCCCATTTACTTGTTTGATTAACAGGTGGCAAGAGACAGAGCTGCATGCCTCCTTTCTTTGGGCAGCGGTTTGATCATATGCTACTCCTGGAAACTAATGCTACAGATGAGTAGCTTGCAATGGGAGAATTACTAGTATTTGCTGATACCTGCCTTATTGAAGTGGAGAAGGAGGTGGATGAAGGCTATGGTGGAATGGATATTGGTGGCTCCAGTACTGCACTGTGACCCTGGAGACTAGGATTTAAATCCCAACTGAGTCATGGAAACCCATTGGGTGGCTTTGGAAAGTAACAGTCAGAGGAAGGCAAAGGCAAATCCCCTCTAAACAAATCTTGTCAAGAAAGCCCCATTACAGGTTCACCTTAGGGTTGAAATAGGTCACAAACAACTGAAGGCACACAACAATAGTTAACAGAGAATGAGAACCTGTTCTGCAGGGACACACTAATATAAATATCCAGGCCTCTGAGCAACGATATCCTTTCCCTCACAACAGCTATGTGTTGAGTGTGTTAAAGAAGATGCCATCAAACCTAAACAGTTTTTATATATTATTACTGAAAAGCAAAACAAATAGATGGGACTTATGACTTTCATTCTAATTCAGCTGGTAGAAGAAATTTAGTCTGGATTTGTTCCCATAGTTTTCAACAAGAATGTTGACTAAGGTCACCCGGAATGGAATTAATTTATATCATGTACAATTATTTTGAAGGAATGGAATAGATGTTTACCACTGAAGATGGGCAATTTCGAAGGGAATTTTGCCTCCTCTAGACTGGTCTATCACTACTGACTTTGCTATCATCAACCATTCCATATAATAATAACAATCATAATAAATAAATAAATAATATTAAAATAAAAAATCAGTGGTAAACTGTGCCTCAGAAGCACTCGAGCAAGTTGCTGTTCAAACTAGAAAGGAACTTGGTGGGGGCACTGAGGTCCTGGGGACCCCATCAATCCCATAAGCTGAATTTTGTCTAGCCCTAACCTAGACAGATGAACTGGAAGATGGCAAGCACTGGTAGATGTTTCTGCTCCAAGTCCCACTGGAAAGCATATTGTTGCAATTATTTTATAATCCCTCTCCATAAAAAAGTCATTTTTCATCTTTCTATTTACCTGGCATTTATTTTGTGCTTTCATGCTCTATAGCCTGTGAATGACACTTTTTTGGTGTTTTGCAAAACCCTTCAGTTTTGCTTGCTGCTTCATTAATCCTACAACTCACATTGGTTTTTGTGCTACTCTGAATTAACTGTAGTTGTGTGAAATGCTATTTCTATAGATTATGTATTTTGGTCAATAAGGTAGTTCACAGCTTTAACCTTGTTTCTGGTTCAGGAAACAATACAGTTGCTTCAGCTCCATATAGCAAATAACTGATTGAAGTTTTTTTTTTCTGATTCCTTCTCTGGTTCTGTTATTGGAGATGCTAGATACTACAGCTTCCAATGTCTTATATTCCTAGCTGTAATCTGGGGGAACCGAGAACATCTTGGAGTCTTTTGGTTCTATCAGGCGGAGGTTTAATGGGCCTCATTGACTGGTTCTCTCATTAAGCAATAAGGTTCAGAGCCATAAGGTTTCAGTTGTTCCTATTCATGTGTGGAAGAAGAAATGAAATTAAAGAGTAGTTGAAATTTGAATTCAGAGATGCTATAGACACCCTGTGCAAACAAGGACAATATCAAATGCATCCTGATTCTTCTGGAGTCCTTTGTCTATGGAAGTCTACTTTTCCCACAAACTCAAATTGTTTTGGCATTGATGTGGCATTTCTTTGTGGCTACCATATCAATGGGGGATGAATCTAGTCTAGGTTTTAGTCTGAACTTAAAAAAAGAACCCTCTCCAATACGTCAAATCCTATTCCAACAAAGAAGTCCAGCATTTTAGATATTTCCTTTAAACTTCAGAGTAAAATTCAGAGTGGAATTACTTGCCTGCTAACTCTTTGAATTAAAGGACAAGTATCCTATGTACTGCAGCCAACAAGGCTACAACTGGAGTCTTATTGCTAATGAAGGGCCAATGTCTTCCACAGCACTTGCGGGCACGGTCGTAGCTGAAAGAGCATAAGAACAACTCATGTTGTCCAACAGATCCCTGGTCTACTTCTGACTGTCTAACATCTGCTGTTTGTGGTAGCTGCCTCACTAGAGACTACATGATAGGCCTGGCTCTGACAAGGGGGTATTTAGAAAAGGATTTGGTGGTTTAAATATAGTTCTTATTGACATATATTTAAAGTCTGCTCATGACCTTGTTTGATGGTGTGTTTTTAAAATTCATTTGATGGCTGTGGTAGATAAATTATTAGCAGTTTTATACTATGGGAAGAATTTGAATCGATCACTCTTGACATTGGAGCTTATGTGGATGTAATGAAAGCAGTTCATCCATACCTTAAAAATAAGTTGAAACTTTACAAAGAATGTATTTCATTGCATTACATGCTATTCTGAATTTACAAATGGCGTGTATGAAAGTAACTTGTAAAAAATGATCCCAAAATTTTAGTCATTACAGCCACTTAGCCACCTTTAGTGTCTCTTGCAGTTTCTGTAGTCTATTCTCCTGATCTTTCCAACACTTCCCATAGAAACCTAATTGGATACAAGTCACACAAATTGTGTTCTCTCGAATAAAGCTACTAGTACTTCCAGGGGGTCTCCTGGAGTATTTTGTAGTAGTTGTGCTGGTCTTATATTCTTACAATTGGACATACTGAAGGCTAAAACTACTTCCCAAACTGAAAGTGATGAGAAGTTTACTTCTGGTTTTGTCAACCCCTGAGTAATTGCCAATTCTCCAAAACAAGAGTTGAAAATTCAGAGGGAATTTGCCATGGCCTTCCTTTAAGGCTGAGAGAATGTAATTTATGCTAATGTTTTAATTACTTTTAATTGTTTTATGGTGTTTTTGAGCATTGAATTTGGCTATTGTTAACCGCTCTGAGTCACCCGAGAGCTGAGAAGAGTGGTATACAAATATAGTAAATAAATAAATAAATAAATAAATAAATAAATAAATATGCTCTGAGCCACCCCATGAGTTTACATGGTGGAGTGGGGATTCAAATCCTGGTGTCCATAGCTGTAGTCCAACATTCCTGTAGATCATGCTGGCTCTTCTAAAAAATCCAATTCTCATTGTTGGTCAGAAAGATGGAAACATGAGATTTAAACTAAAACCTTAGCTCTATGCTATGTGCAATGAATAGGGATCCCAGGGTTAAAAAATGACCCAGTAATACTGTGTGTGTGTGGCAACATTTGTGATATAATGAGTAACCATTGTGGGTCTTGCCACAACTAGCATAAATACTAATTATTTTTAATTGTGTTGGAGGTATGTTTAGGAGATTGACATTAACATTGCAAAATGTATAGCATTACAAGTAAATAAATACTTCAAAACTCATGTCTTGAGTTTTTAGCTTGCATTCTTGGCAGTCCCTTCCCATATAACAGAAGTAATCTCATTGGAGATAAATCTCTCAAAAACTAAAAGTCACGAGGACTAGATTTAATATCCCTTATCTGAAATGCATGGGACTAGAGGTGTTCAGCATTTATAATTTTTTTCCTCCAGATTTTGTAAAATTTGCATATACGGATATAAGGACATATCTTGGAGATGGAACTCTTATACAAATAGTCTGATGATATATACCTTATACACATAGCAGAAGAGTAATTTTATACACAATTGAACCAATAGGAAGTGAAGGTGTCACTTTCTCAGCACCTATTTGGACTATTCTGTGTTTTGGAGTATTTCATATTTTGTAATTCCAGGTAAGGGATACTCAAGTCATATTGCAAACATCAGAGGGAGTGTGCATGCCTGGTGAAGAACAAGTGCTGAAAGAAAGTCCTGTACTTTTGTGCTGCTATAGAGATAGCCATAGCTACCTGATTGGACTGTGGACACAATACTGGACTAAATAGGCTTTTACTCTGATCCAACATAGCACTTCTTATGGTTTCAATCTTTATGCTTCCAAACCCTTCTGATAGATTTACTGTGCAATTTCATGCTTCTACAAACACTAAACTAAGTAGATCCAGTGAGGTGACAGTGAGTGGGTGACTTCGAGGATTTCAATCCCAATTTTAAAATGGGACTGAATGTAGCAGTGACTACTCTCTTTTGCAACTTGGCTTTTAAAACGTCTTCCAAATGTTGACTCCAAATGTTGATTTTGGAATGAAATAAAACATTATTAAAATTGGTTTTGTGTCACTTGAGGATGCAAAAACATTCTATTCTAGATATCAGTATGCTTTTCTAGGTCTAGATTTATTTAGAACAGGGGTCTTCAAACGTTTTAAACAGAGGGCCAGGTCACAATCCCTCAAACTGTTGGAGGGCCGAATTATAATTGGAAAAAAACATGAATTCCTATGCACACTACACATATCTTATGTGCAGTGCAAAAACACTTAAAAACAATACAATAATTACAATGAAGAACAATTTTAACAAATATAAACTTATTAATATTTCATTGGGAAGTGTTGGCCTGCTTTTGGCTGGTGAGACAGGATTGTTGTTGTTGTTGTTGTTGTTGTTGTATGCTTTCAAGTCGTTTCAGATTTAGGTTGACCCTGAGTGAGGGCCGGGTAAATGACCTTGGAGGGCCGTATTTGGCCCTCGGGCCTTAGTTTGAGGATCCCTGATTTAGAAAGTTTGGCTTTTTGAAAAAACAAACAAACAATTTTCCTAGGTTCTTGTGGGTTTTTTCGGGCTATATGGCCATGTTCTAGAGGCATTTTTCCTGACGTTTCGCCTGCATCTATGGCAAGCATCCTCAGAGGTGAGGTCTGTTGGAACTGGGAAAAGGGGTCCTTTTTCCTTCGCCAAAAAGCTTTTTTTCAGATCTTTTGAGTTCAGCCCTCTTTAATTTAGATTTCTTACAACAAAATTTCTGAGCATAGTTTTTTTTGCTGCTTCATTTCCCAATTGATTCAGACTGCTTGTATACACTGACAATGAACTTGCACAGAAGCCTCCATAGGCAATGACATGTCTAGAAAGACTAGTGTGAATGAACTTGCTAAACAGAATCAATTAGTCAGTAGCTGTGAGTTTTCTGGGCTGTATGGTAATTAGGTTTACTTTTTTTGTTCACAAGGGAAAAATGCAAATTCTGCTCAGGCCAATGAGTTATAGTAAATGTGAATGCTTAATGTAAAAGTGGCCTTTTAAGCTAAAAGCATTTAGGCAAAGTGGGTAATACTTTGAAAATACAAAGACAGATTACAGATCGTGTAAAATGTAAACTCAGTGGCCACAATCCAGCAAAAAGCCCCATTAATTCCACTGAGATTTAAGGGTGAATGTCCTACCATTGAGTTCCTTGCTCTCTGTTTTGGGACCAAATTTGAAATACTGTCAGCATGCAGCTTAGGAACAGGCATGTCTGTATGTGAGTCTGTGCCAAGATTTTTTAAGTTTGAAAAACAAACATCAATTTCTGTTGACTAAAGGTTTAGATGGAACATAATCTGGGCAATGCAGAACAGGAACTGTAAATGGCAATGATGATGATATGAATCGTTTTAAATTTTCACCCACTCTCATGACACATACATTATTTTCCAGGGCATACATTTGGAGGGAGAACTTCACTTCTCAAATCATAATTTGTACTAGATTCAGTTCTTCTCCACGAAGAACAAAGATGCTACCAAATTCATTGAGATTTCAAGGAGAGAACTTGCATCACAGTTTCTGGTTGGTACTGCATATTCATCATAGCAACTTGTCAAATCTCTGGGAAGAGAGAGATTTCCATTTTGTGAAGAAGAAATGCTTGGCAAGGACCCCAAATTTTCCTGTGTGTACATCTTTCATGCTGGCAATAATGATAACATATTTTTGATCGAAACAAAAGATCATAACTTGAACATACGTACAGATACCCAAGAGATGAACAGTGACAAAACAAGCTCCACTATCAAAGTGGAAAAATGAACAAAAAAGACTGTTGCTAACCACCACATCAATTCATTGTAGCCATTGGTGCAATCTGTTCAGCCTTCAACTTTGTATAAACCACAGGCTCTCGGGAACACCTATCAGGAAAGTCAAATTTTTTGTTAGTTTCTAGAATTATAGGAAATAATTTATAGCTCATTTAAAGCCCTTAACAAGTCCTTTGGAGAAAACTCCAAATGAAGCACTAATAATGCACAAAAGCTCATTCCAGCTTTTTCCTCTAGTGAAAATATTCTTTTTCACTGGGAAGCTATTTGTGGAAGTCTAACAGTCAATACAGTTTCTCATCTGTGGCATTAATAATCAGTCTGATTCACTGCAGTGGCAATTATATATGAAAACAACTGTAAGTGACCCAGTGCAGAAGCTCTTACCTGTGTGAAATTAGCAGAAACCATTGGAAACAATCAAGAGGTATCGTGACCATTTCTTGCACAAGAAAGGTAAGCAGAAGGCTTTACAAGCCAAATGGAGGACTAAGTGAAAGACAGAACTTGAAGAAAATCGGTTTGACATTCATTTGTAGTTTTGACTTTTGCAGATTTGATTATTTATGGGTTTGATTAAAATGTTCTCTTTAAGGATTTTTTAGGTCCTCCAGTGTGACTATATCAAACATGGTCAAACTTTGGCTCTCCGGGTGTTTTGGACTTCAACTGCTACCATTCATAACCATTCATAACAGCAAGTAAGTTGGCTGGCATTTCCAGGAGTTGAAGTCCAAAACATCTGGAGGGCCAAAGTTTGCCAATGCAAACGTCCTCTAGTCTTGCTGGAAAACCTTGAGATTCTTTTTAGAGAGAATACTTTTCTAGAAATCTGTAGGTCCTCCAGTGCGATTCTATGTTCAGCTTCCAGCTGAATTTGATCATAGTGTTGTGCTGGAAAACCTAGAACTCCCTAGACAGGTGTTCTCTTAAGTTAAAAAATAGCAATTTCTTTATTCATTTTTTCACTTTCACAGAGGTCCTGTGTTCCTAACCCCAGCAACTGTGGACGGCTGGCTATAGATCTGATAGATCAGCAGACCAGTACAATTATACTGGTATCTACTTCAAGGGAAGTGAATAATCACCATATTCTATCCCAGATGCTCTTAACAGTATTTTGTAGTATCGTTATAAACATTACAGGAATTGGTTGCTAACTGTCATTAAAGCTTAACATAATTTCTTATAGGTCACTAGGTATGAGTATTGTAAGGAAATATAGTATTATGCTACTCTTCTTTGAAAGTTTCAGAGATGTAAACTTTTCTGGTATAGATCATTTCCAGGATATTAAATATCTGTCCACAAAACTGGTTTCTATCTGTCTTTGGCTTCTATAATAAAGGGATCTTTCATAAGAAGAGGGATGGAATCCATTCTTATCCATTATTTTTAGGGCATCTACTTTTAACGTTACCTTAGGGAAGATTGCAATATTTTAGAGTTCAAAAGCCACTTCTTCCAAAGTAGCTCAACTCATTTCCATGACTCATAGTCTATAGTAGAGATTACAGAAATAGAAATTACTATCTAAGGATTGTGGCCTACATAAAGCAGCACAGCACGTTGATCCTCTTAGCATGAACTACTAGTAAATGGCTCTTCTTTTGAAAGGTGTCCCAACATTCACATTTCCTTGATGAAATTTAGGCATCTGAGGCTTGTTTCATGGATTCTGGTAATGAAATACTTCTTCCTCTAACATGCCACTAAATCCCAAGCATACTGAAGAGAGTGCTACAAAATATAGCATCAGTAAAACAGATCTCTTAAATGATGCAAACACATTCAGAGACTGGAGCTGTATTAGAGAACTAAGACCATGTGCATGTATATGTCTTAAACATATGATTAATTCTTACGATTTTTTTTATAAAAAAAGAAATGCTACAAAACCATGTTATATTAAAAATATACTGGGAATTCATTACACTTTAAAATATCTATTCAGAAAAAAGGCAACTGCAACATGACCCTATTTTGATAGTAATAGCTGTATTTATCCTTAGGTCAATTTGATATTCTTGGTTTTTCTTATTTTTGTTTTGTGTTTTTTTTTACATAATTGCATATATATTTCCATTTGAAAAAAAAGGGGGGGGGAGAAAAAAAATTCAATGTGATGGCTAAGATCCATAATAGATGACTCATGGACTTGAGTTATTGCTAGACTGAATGCTTTCCATAGCCTCTGTGTCCAAAATGTACACTTACTGCTCCTTCAGCCTTGACAGTTGACCTTTCAATGTGCTGGCATACTGCCGCAAGGGCAGCGGCATCTGCAGGGTAGACACAGCGGTATCCTATTTAATCACCCACCTCTATTATCTTATCTCAGGTAGCAACTCAAATTGACATTTGCATTGTATTGGGTGAATGTAAATTTCACTATACTTTCAATGTGAAGGCCAACCGATGCGCAGTTATCCCCTTCCCGCCTTCACAGGCTGTTTTGGATGCTCCTGGTTTTAATTTGAAAACAGACATCCAAATCCCTTTGTTATATAATCAATATGATTTTCTTCTCTTGGTAATACCTAGGGTTTTTAAAAAAAGGAAAACAAACCAACTAGTCAGACTGTTGTGATTTGGTCAACCACTCGGGTACTATCCATATCCACCATTTCAACGCACTCTATTTCCTCCCGGTTCTCAGGAGTTTTCTTCTCTTTCCGTTTTTTCTTGGATGGTGGCACAAAAGTCAGTATCACAGGTAAAATGGCAAAGCAATGAAAGAAGGTGACTAATGCTATCAAAAACAAGCACCTGAACAGTGTACGGGTCAGATTTGAAGGCACAGCTGCGAGAGGAATTAGACCAACAATGTAGCAGAGGTAGCTCTGTAAAATAGCTACCCCGTGCACTTCCAGGGCATTCTTTACCCATTTAGTTCTTGTGAAATCTTTGCCCAGGACAAAGGTTGACAAGAGAGGTGCACAGTTGTCAACTGTATAATTAATCCCATAAATTAAGCACAATACAGAAATACAGTCCAAGTCGACTTTCCACAAGGTCATAAAACCTATAACTCCAAATTCGACTGAGGCAACAGTGAGCGTGAGCCATACATTGATGAGAGAATCTGCCACCAGAAACGCAGAGAAGAAGAGCAGGAATAAAGCACTAATGCAGGAGTTTTGCAAGGGGGCTCCCATATAGGAGGCATAACGATCCATGTATACAAATGATGGGTTGAAAACAATGAATTTAACCTTGGATTTGAGAGAGAGCTTTCTTAAGGTTTCCAGGAGATGATAAAGCTCTTCTCGTTTGGTATCCATAGTCTTAGCCACCAGGAACATTCGAGAGGCCACAATGTCGACTTCATTGTTGTATTTCTTGGAAAAAATGATATCCTCTGAAAAATGGGCAAACTGGGGTGCTTTCAGGAAGGAGTTCCTTAGCATATCTGTGAAATTCTTTTTGGGTAATCCAGTTGATATGTTGAGTTTTCTAAGGTAATTTAAATAGCTCTCAAACCAAGATATCCGCACAAACCCCTTGGTGTACTCTAGCATGTCCTCTTGAACGGTTATGTTCCAGTATTCTATGGATTCATAGATATAAAACCCAATGACCGGGCTGTAATTGCTAAAGTACTTCTGCTGAGCTGCAGTGTACTCCATTGTTCGTGTTGCAGTTGCTACGATGTTCCTAAGGTCTGACTCTTCATTGACCTGCAGGTAGCCCATTAAGGCAAAGGAAATATAAATAAGGTAAAAGAGAACTACAAAAGGCTTGACATATGTGTTCGTTATCCAGTCGCAGTAATAACGCTTGAGGAAACACACCAAAAGGTGACTTTCATAACTGTTTGTCTCCTCTGACTCTGCAGTGTCCTCGCTGAATTTGGCTGTCAGAAGAAACCTATACCAGGCAGGCTTCTCTTGCAAGACCTCTGGCTTTGGTACCTTTCTGCAGAAGATGCTATGCTGGTAGTTGTTTTCTATGTAGCCAGTAAACACGAGGCTGGAACCATAAAAGGAGAGCACATAGAGGTAGTTGAAGAAAATTGCAATACAGGAATTGCAGCAGAAGAGCCTGGCTGCTTCAATGTTAGTGAAGGGGCTGGCACCTATTCCAAAAGTGACCAGATACATGGCAGTGGTGAGAGAAAAGGAAAGCATGGAGTCTGCAAACACGGCTGCAGTTCTCTCTTTCACGTGTTGGTCTTCTCTAGTTTTCCTCCAGGAGGACAACATTTCAAAAGTTCCATATAATCCATGACCTGGAAGAGAGAAGAAAGCCACTATTTAATCTTAAGAAAGGAAGGACAGAACTAACAAGGACGAATATGTCCAATGAACTGTACATTCATTTACATGGGCTAATTGGAGAAGCAATGGTCCTCCCGGGACTCTGTACGAATCAGTGCAGGTGATATGCTGCACAAGAAGGGAGCCAAGTTTAGTGTCAAGAAGACTTATGCTAACATGTCCGTTACCGAAAGCAGACATTTTAAATGCCATGTTTTCATTGAGAAGATTTAAGAGTTGTCTAAGTTAAGATTATTCTAACTATATGCTATTGATTTCTAAGGAAAACACTGGATGTATTAATGTAGCCCTCCCTTTTTAAAAAGCAACATTCTATAAATGAGAAGACCCCAGGTACAGTGAATCATTTTTTTTGTGTGTAGTTTGGTCAGACTAAATTATAAAATCAAGACAATCTGTCCCAATGTACTTCAGTTTAACTAATATGCTCAGTGTGACAATTATAAGTACAGTTCCAGAATGAAGCTATTTCTCCCTCTACAATGCTAAAGCAAAGGGGAATCTTGAGAATTTGTGTGATTTTAAAAGGAAATTTCTCAATACTTACATTTAAAAATGTTTTTAAAAAACATCATAGGTTCAAACCTGAGGGTCTCTGATAAAACACAAATCATTAATGGTCCAAAATTCCTGTTGGTAACATCTGGTAGACTGGGAAAGTGACAGAGAAAGTATCTTCCTTTCTACCTTTTCCATGCTATAAATAATGTTATGCATATTTTTGATGTCTTCCTTCACTTATTTTTTAAATCGAAGCGAAAGATCTCTGAACATTATACCCTTTCCTCAAAGGAGAGAGTTGTTCTAAAACTGTAATGAATCTGGAAGACTTTATAATAGGTCCAAGTTTCTGACTACGTTATCAAAAATCCTACATGGCACCAAAGCCTCTGGGCAGCACCTCTTAATCTGATAATGCCAGAGTCCATGTTTCATATCTACAGGCATTCCTGAACTAAAAGAAACCTGCAATCAGATCATGCAGATACTAAGGTAATTCCACCTTTTCATAGGTTCACTGAGGAGAGCACAGAGACAGCTAGGATATGAAGCAGGTTTCATTATAATGACCTCACACTGTCAAAAGCATGGTTTCCGTTCCTGTCTCTTTGGAATGCTATGGGGTCATCGTAATTTGTAACCTTGTCGTATGAAAATACAAATAGATATTTAAATAACATTTGCATCCTATTTGCAGTGAGACATTTGCTATTCATCTTCATTTTCCAAACTATTTTATAGCTGCTTCCACCGGGCAGGTCATGACTGTCAATTTGATAACTAGCACAGTGCCCCCATTAAAGCTAATTGGGAGCACTGAAACTCCCCAGACAGAAAAATCTAGCAAAAAGTACAACCGGTGACTGACATCCCATTGTTAATTATGTTTTAAATAGTTATGTTCTATTCTCAGTAGGGAAAACTATTAAGCTCTCTTCCACTGCCTTCATAAAGGCAGACTGACCTTTTAAAAAAAGGAAAGGGAAAGAAAAGAAAAACAGACTCCCTGCCAAAATAGGAACCAAGAAGTTTAATCCTTTTATAGTTTCCTTACATACTGCAAACAACTCTGCCTGAAAATTCTATGTTCCATCCAGAAGAATCTGTCTTTTACTGAATAAATCATTCTAAAAGCAAATTATAACTTTGTTGTGCCAGAAGTTTAAGATGCAGTTTGTTATAATTTTATGCAAAAGGTATCCCTGTTAACGGCGCTCCATGCAGTCATGCCGGCCACATGACCTTGGAGGTGTCTACGGACAACGCTGGCTCTTCGGCTTAGAAATGGAGATGAGCACCACACCCCAGAGTCAGACATGACTGGACTTAATGTCAGGGGATTACCTTTAGCTTTACCTATCCCTGTTATAAGGCCTGATATATAAAATCATGTATAATATCTGTATTAATTTACACATGTGTGCTGTGTGTCTTCACATTGTGAGTTATGAAGAGCCTTTGCCAAACCTATCACAGAGGGTTTTGTTCTGAAGGAGATTGTCCCTGTCTTTCTCTGAGGCTGAGAAAGTATGAATTGCATGGCCAAGGAGTAGTCTCCAAGGCCACATCTACACTGCCGTATAATGCAGTTTAATGGCATTGAATTGCATTATATGAGTCTACATTGCCATATAATGCAGTTCAATGCAATTAAACTGCATTCTGAAATTGTATTAAAATACAGTGTGGATGGGACCACAGAAACCTACAATTCATCAATCCAACCACTACACTTACGAGGTCCTAATAGTTGCAAGACAAACAAAACATAAACATTCCTAACATGGTGCAATTCTGGCATTTTAAATTTAAACTTGTGGGTAAGTATTTATTATTCCCCACCATAAACATCAAAAATAAGAGGGGAACTCTTTGGGATAAGATTTTGAGTTATAGGTACAGACAGAAGTATTTAGGAAATTCTTTAGGAAGAAATATTTGCATCTTCTTATTGGTGGTTGAATCAGGATAGTCAATCGTGGGCTGGAAACTTCAGTCTGATAACCTTTGAATTATATTTCTTCTGCCATATAAATGTTCAGACTAGATTATAGGAAAAAAATGCTTTACCCATGGGACTAGTACCTGTAGTTTCACCGACCCAAAGCCATTAACATATTTTCCAGGTCCACGTGGTGATTTTATGGTATGTTTCCACTGGAAATTACCACAACGTTATCTTGCAAGACCTAGAAAATTCCTAGAAAAGTATCCTTTCCATGATTTATTTAAGTTCTTCATAATAAGTTTGCTATTACCCATTTTCCCCCAGGGTAAATTCGGGAATATCTCTGTGGATATGAAAATTGCACTGTATAAAACGGCTGGAGGATCAGAACTTGAGGAAACTTGTTCTAAAGTGTAAAATCAGCATTTTGTTGTTTCTAAACATATTCAGTTTTTATCTGCTTATTTTATATTATACAGTTCTAGCACTATGATTCTACTTAAACTGCCATGGCCCCATCCTATGAAATACTAGGGTTTTTAGTTCAGTGAAGCACTAGAGCCCTTAATCTCAGAATTATAATGTATCTCAATAACCTGCCGAGTTTCTATAGTGTGAAAGGGTCCCATGTTGTTTCACAGCTAAGAACCTAAATATTGTTGTTGTTGTTGCTGTTATTATTATTATTATTATATTTATTTATAGCCCAGTTTTTTCTCCAACAAGGAGCTCAATTTGGGGAGCCCAGTACAAATTTGATCCTGGCTTTAATAATGATGATGAGGTTTGAGGCAGGATACAACATGATAATAAAGAATACTATTAAAATACATTTAAAAATTATTTTATTTTGTCTATTAAGTTTAATTAGGTTGTGTTACATTGTAAAATGTGTTTATTTTGATGTAATTGTCAGTATGGTTTCTTTCTGGCAATTGAATGGTTACCTTAAATGTTGGAAAAAGTTCTGAGTCCCTTTGGGGAGATAGGGCAGTAAACAACTAAAGATGATGATGATATACACAGGTGAAATGCAGATTAAAATTACCAGTAAAATACAGGTTAAAATTCACAAGTTAGGTTTGGCTGGATAGGCCTGCTAGAAGAGATAGGTCTTCAACTGCATCTAAAATTCTGACAGCTGATTTAGCTGTCGGAGCTCTCCTGGCAGGTTATTCCACAGTCTTGGGGCAGTAGATGAAAAGGTCCTCTGGGTGATGGATGCCAGTTGAGTTCTGGCTTCTTAAAGACGCTATGTGCCATCTGATCTTGGAAGCTAGGTAAGGTCTGCCTTGGTTACTACTTGGATGGGAGGCCACCACAAATATCAGATAATGCTACTGGCAAAACCATCTCTGAGTATCATCTACTTAAAAAAGTCATGAAATTTGTGGAGTTCCCATAACCTAATAGATTTTATTTATTGTGTCATCAGCAACCATACCATAACTTAATAGATGATTTGAAGGCACACACACACACACAGTTGTTGGAATATAGGGCCATAGCACATCAATTCCGTAATCCTTTATCCCACACAAAAATCTCATGGCACAAAACAGTTTGCTTTATATCTAAAATTACTGTTACATGTCCTGCACTTCTGAAAAATACCTATCTTTGCTATTTTCATTGAATAACATAAAACCTGAGAGGTTTATTAGTTTGTTAACTATTTTGTTAACAGAAGAAAAAGAATATTAAGTTTCTATTAATATCCTGAAATAAGTTGTACTTTATCCTCATTTCTCACTTTCTTAGTAATGGATAATGTAGGGTAGTTTAGGATGCTCTGGATGTCTCGTCTAAAGTGTAGCCTTCCTCTCCCGTGTAGGTGCTCTTGTCTGGATTAGTTTCTTTAGTCTGCCCCTGCCCCAAGGTTATTTGTCTGCTCCCCCACCCACCACCCAAAATCTGCTAATGTGTATAGATTATGACCTGTGCAGTGGCTTTTGGTTACATAAGCAAAAAACACTCACAACCTGGAAACTGAAGAAATAAATTCCTGCGCTGCCCTGCCCTTGAAATTTGCAGGAGAGGCTCTTTTTTGCCTCCCACAACCTTCACAGGTACCGTTGGTGGGATCATGAAACAGACTTTGGAATACCTTTGTCCTTCCTCTCCTTCCATTGGCAGGTCAAGAGTTCTGTTCAGTTTTGTAGAAGTGACAGCTTTTTGAAAAAGGGCTACAAGAGAGTGCTAAATTATTTTAAAGTAAACTGTTTTAACTGTTTCTATAAATTTTAATAGTATATGTTTTAAATTGTTTTAATATGGTTAATAGTTTTATTTTTGCTTTAATAGTATATGTTTTAAATTGTTTTAATATGGTTAATAGTTTTATTTTTGAAAAAGGGCTACAAGAGAGTGCTAAATTATTTTAAAGTAAACTGTTTTAACTGTTTCTATAAATTTTAATAGTATATGTTTTAAATTGTTTTAATATGGTTAATAGTTTTATTTTTGCTTTAATGTTGACTCTTTTTGTCATTTAAATTTGTA